CCAGCAAAGTCACCTCAAAGAAGTCCTTCCAAATCAATGATTGCTATTTACAATATAAATACATTCATGTAGCTATATTACTCATCTATAATTGATTTGAGTACAAAATTCTGGGTTATTTTTGGTGAAAATAGGGTACTGGGCCTTGGTTCAGGACTAATCCCTCATTTATAACATTGTTGCTTATGAGAAAATTGGTTTCAAGTCGCAATGTTTTGACTTAAGATGCAGTTTTCAGGAACCAATTGTGTTGTAAGTCTGAGGACTGCCTGTATAAACAAAAAATCTAGGGAGAAAGCACATTTTCTGCAGACTGATTGAGATGTGCCTGTTACTAGGCAAATATAAACCAAGATGCTTTGGAAATAAAGCCTCCAATTAAAACCCAAACCAAAAAACACTCTCTCTCCTGCAATAATCAATTACTTGACATTAAATGAGAAATTATTCCGGCAGAACTGGATCCCAGAAGGAATCAGAAGGCCACAGGCCTCAAAAACGCAACGTTTAATACATTTCATAGAATAGAACAGATTAGACTTCAAAGAGGAAATAATACTGGATCTGAGGGAGACCACAGCCTTGATTCATAAACCCAGGAGTAGGAAGGCTGCAGTTTGTGCAAACACGCTGGGGTCACGGGGCCAATAAGAACTTACAACCTCTGCCTCAAGTTTCTTCCTAGAAAGGCGGCTTTAATTCCTGTCCCACAAAGAAATAAGTATCCTATCAAGCCCAGCTCAACAGGAATGTACTAAATCTGCCGGGTTCCTACACATCCTACTCCCGGCACCTTCCGAGAGGCAAGAGCTGCTTTCAGACACCTGCCCCACCCTTGCTGGACAGGGTTTGCAGGATGCTTGCACCTCTGCTCCTCCCTCCCATGCCCCAAAGGGAACTAGATAGCTAATTAACTAGACTTAATTAAGCCACAATTAAGTTCAGACGGAGAAGACCACCTGAGCAGCTTCACATGCCCCAGAGAAAGCATATTTACTTCCCAAAGGAAGAGTCCTTCACACCTTCCACATACAGAACAAAGGGCCTCCTGGACATGTCACATACTTACCCCTCTAGCCTCCCAAAAGTAGGAGTGTATTCTCTACAGAGTTTGGGCCCAATTTTCAACTACCACATCCAAAGCTGTATGCCTAGTTTGTACACCATCTTGGCAGCACATATCAATGCCATGCAGTGCCCTATTCTGCAGGGAGAGATGGAATGAGGATTTGCACATGCAAGCATTAGGCCTTGAAACCTACTGAAAACTTGGCCCTTCCATTTTACACGCACACACTGATTTAAACCAAAAAAACCCCGTGACATGCAGGTACCTCACTACCTCTAAAAAGATCAATACTACAGCAAAGCACTTGTTGATCTACCAGATGCAGTGCCAAGCCCTTTTCAAGGTTGCACACTTGGGGTTTCTGATTCGAGCATTTCCCCAGGGCTTTGTGTGACCCAAGTGCTGTATAAGCCTCAGCCAATGTACTTATGAAATAATAGCTTAGGCTGGAGACACTCAGTACATGCAGACAGCTGTAAATCTATATTTTGGGACTGTCCAAGGATAAGGACACACTGGGATGACGTAACACTAACAAGGACATTGCCAAAATAAAAGATCCATCTCATCTCCTAGTACATATCAGGCCACATTTCCAAATCAAGGAGTCCTACTTACCCAAGGCAGGGGTAGACATCCCGTGACATGCATGCCACAAATGGCATAGGCAGCCTGTGTGGCATACAGCAGAGTTGGGAGGGGACACATGGCACAGTGGCATATCAAGCAGGAACCAGAAAGCGAAGCAACAGCACAGGCAGGGGAAAAGAATCAGAGTGGCACTTGGGAAGGGTCTGGGTATAATTTGTGGCACACCTGCCAAAAAGGCTGGCCTCCACTAATGTTATGACCAGTTTCTTAAGCTTGCAAAGGTTAAGAGAGCAAAGAAAGTTTGACTTTCATTGGTGAGAGAAATCAGGGCCATCTGTAAGACAGGAGATCTCAGGCCAAACACAAAGGATTCTGTGTGGAAGTGACATATCATACACAGGATAAAATAAGATTCTGACAACATTTAGAAATTGTTTCAGCTGCAGATGGGAATGTTCTACAAAAGAAAGGTTTTCAAAAAGCTAGTTCAGGGAGGTCTTTAATCCATAAAATAAAAATGAGAAAAAGCTGTTGTTTTTTTTTTTTATATTTCCCCCTGTAAAGATTGTACATATTTAAATAACTGTATTTTTCAAGTAAGCACTTTTACTGTAATAAAAACAATTCAAATGGCAAGGAAAAGAACTCCGCCTGCACCAGGAAGTTCCCTTCTGAAGCACATTTTCTTTTCAGTGATTAGTTTTCAAGTATTCCAATTCAAATGCATTGGTTAGTCCTGTAAATTGTCGGTTTTGTTGTCACTTTGCATTGCTTTTCCAGCTCAGTTCCTTTTGGTCATAAGCAATTCCTCTGCTCAGCACATAAGCGAACTTGGATCCTTGGATTAAGAAAGGCCACTTTGTTCTATGCAAACTGAACTGTAAGTGGTAAAGGTCCTGGTTCCAGTCATTTACGGACTCAGTCGGAGTCATCGTCGCAACCATCGCTCCCATCAAGTTCATTGTTGTTCTGCAGGGCAACAGAAAAGAAATGGCAGGGTTATTGTATCATCACTTCTAGAGAGACCCACATCAAAGCACTGGATCTAATCTACTCCAGGGTACAGGCGAAGATGAATCTGGATCCCAGCTTCACAACTTGCACCCACACCTACTTTCTGTCCAGTGTAGAGGGTACTTCAGGAGAGGTAACCACCGTACTTTTGGTGCTAGATAATTTGTTTACTGCATTCTCATCAAGTGGGGTAGACTTCTATTCAGTGAGCTTGGCAAGTGCATGATTGTGTAAGTAGCACATTGAAAATGCCAACAGTGAAAATTCATTTTCATAAGCAGATCACTTAAAACCTTCATTTTTCCAATGGTCTGAAACCACTACCAAACTGCTACGGCTCCCACTGTGTTCCAGACCTTGCTGATGGGGGACTTAACTTGGTGATGGCTTCAGACAGTTGAATTTAGATCCAACTTGTTGTCCCAGATATCATAGTCTTATATACAAGTACCGAACACACCGTGTTAAAGCATAAAGCAGCTGCAAGGTTTCTAAGGACCAGGTCACACCACTCATTTATCTGCCTTCAGCCAATGACTCAGCTGACTAGGAACCCGATGCTGTAGGTTTGAGTTTATGGGTAAGAAGCAAGATAGCCTCCTGTTACCCAATCCATCACTGTTTCTTGAACGCAAGCCCCATCTGTTACCTTCAAACAGCACTAAGTAGGTAAATAATTGTTTGCATCCTATGCTCTTTCTGCATCACATTTAACATAAGGCAGTATTTATTATCAGCATTTTGCCTCTGGTCACAAGTGTTTCCATGAAATACATGCTTTCCTGCAGTGATGTTGCTACAATTGCCTGAAGTACAATAAATCCAAGAAACTTCTGGCCTAGGGGTAAGCAACCCACCGCATGCTTGGCATACACACCACAGGGAAAAGACCGGGGCTGAACTGCCACAAGAGTCAGGCCCCCGCTGTCCGTGCTTGGCATGGCAATATCTTACAGGTTGAGGTTGCAGGTGTTTTTGCTACTCTGCCCAAAAATGTTGCCGACCCCTGATCTAGCCCCTTTTCAGTGCAGGACTTTACTCAACAGAATATCCATTTCTGAAACTCCCGTTAACCAAAGGCCATTGTTATGTTTTTCAGGTTTAAAATGATTAAAGCTCCAATCCTTCCCAGCCCCATCACTGCCACTTTACAGGTCTTCTAGTTCTGAAACCGTAAGAACCCATTCAAAGGGCACAGAGACCTCCTGGGTCCATCAGGTCCGGTCCTCCGCTCTCACAAGCAACCACCTCAAGTAATCCCATTCACGAATCCAGTCACCACTCCCAGTATTCAGGAGCGCTGCCTCACATTTGTAAAAATACCAGGATTCTATTCAACTGTTTCCCTCACATTGTCTCCAGTCTACTTTTGTCACACTCAAAGCAAAGATTTCAACTATTTCCTTGCATGATTATAGTACATCCCAGAGTTCCAGGAAAATTTCTTCAATTTCAGCCTCAATTTTCCTTTTCTTAAAAAAAATGCATCCCATGTTTGCCTGTTATACTCACAGCCGCTCCAGCTGCTGCTAACTCAAACCTACCACCTCTCATGAAGTTCCCCGAGGTTTGCTGCTCACAGTGGGTTAGCAAGACTTGGTCAAGAATAACTAATGAACCAGAGCTTAAACTTCCACCCAGCTTCAGCCCCCTTGCATCTAAATAGATCATTAAACAAAATAGAGGACCAGATAAATGGCGAGTTCTCCAGGCAGATGGGTATGAAGAAGGGATTGAAATTATGTTTTTTGTTTTAAGAGAGTTCAAAGCCACTACAGGTTGGACTGCCTGTCCCTGCCTTCCATTGCTAATCTGTGTGGCTTTGTAATCCTTCCTCCTGCACTGAGGAATGGCTTTTCCTTCCTGCTCTCTCTTGTCGTGCACAAACCCACAACAAAAATAAAACCAGTAAAAGAGGCTGCATGCGAAGCATGATCAACTGCAGAGTCTGGAAAGAGAGAGAGAAATTCATCTCATTTTTCACCTTCATCTCTCAGAGATGCCATCTGAGGCAGTGCACAGACAGCAGGTAAAAATGAATTTGGGGAAATGAGCAACTCCAAGTTGACATGTCCCTTTAAAACAAATCACTGCCATAGGGGAAGGCAAACATTACCTTGGAGTTCCCGTCATTGGCTTGCACCTCTGTAGCAGTGGAATCGAAGTCATGGATGGAGAGGGTATTCATCCAGTTCACCATGGACTTTTCCTCCTGTTCCGTGTTTATAATTGTTGGATAGATATGTTCCTCTTTGAAAGCAGCAATCTTCTCCTCCTCCTCTACCCATTCCAGAGGCTCATGCAGCCCGTCATTTCCAAAGCGCTTGTTGTACTTTTCAAAGTGCACCCTTTCCAAAACCAGACCAAGCCCCGGTGCTTTGGGGACATCCACCTTCTCCTCTCCCCAGCTGCGCTCCATGATAGACTCAGCCGTGTAGCCTTTCACTACTGCAATCACCAGACCAATCATTTTCCTTATCTGGTGCATCATGAAACTCTGGCCTTTCACCTTTATCACTGCAAATTCCATGCCTTCTCTCACAAAAGGCTCCTCACAGTACATCTCCATGATGTACCGCTTGGCACTGGGGTCCTTGGCCCCTTTCTGAGAGGTGAAGTTGTGGAAGTTATGAGTTCCTTTGTAGCAAGCAAGAAGTCTGTTGACTTTCTCCAGAGTCTCTTGGCTCAGTCGGTAGGTTTCATCTTGGGGATCAAGGTCCTTTTGGGCAAAGGCAAATGTTGGTAGCATGTAGGAGTAGGTCCGGGCATCACATTTGTTCTTAGAGTTGAATCCCCCGGTGACTCTTTTCAGTCCTTATTTCAAAGGTGACATCAGATTAGGCAGAACAGTTAAATCAGCCATTTCAGCCCGACTATGAGCCCCCACCCACTAGCAGGAAGAGCATCTTTTTCAAGGTAATGGGAATTCACAAAAATCCGTAACAATCTAATTGGCCACATGGAAGCACAAAGACATCTGCACTTGAGGATGCCTCAAAATCCAAATCAAAGGGGTGTCTGCGCACACGGCCGAGATACTCAGTTTCAAAATCCTTACCCAGAACTCTGATATCTGAAGGGAGATGGTTATTGATCTTTTCTAAAATGCTGTCCGTCAGCCAGACCTTCAGTGACACTATCTGTCCAGCTGCAGACACACCCTATAAAACAAAAACGAACAACGTACACATGCACGTGATTATGCCACAGTGGAGGACCTGTATCAGAAACAAATTTAAAATAAGTAAAGTCAATGCATATGCATTGTTCAGAGGTAGACAAGATTCTCTGGGTCTCTGTAATATCTTGTATTAGCTCAACTGAGTATGTATTGTTCATTTCTTTATGAGTAGTAATTTCAATCTAAAAGGAGGCAGAGAAATCATCACTGGTGTTGATCCAAAAAAAATAAATAAATTGCTGCCATAGGGGAATACAAACATCAACGATTTTAGCTTCCCTGCAAAACTATGCTGCACGGTACTTCCCTTCCTCACCTCTCCCTCCTCCCTGCAATCTATGAGACTGACTTAACCAAGAAAAAGAGAGTTGAAGGGATCTGCTTTGTATGAGGCCTTCAAATTCTTATAAGGTAACAGGAACAAGAGTATAAATCCATTATTAATGTCCTCTCCTCTGTGGCATCTTGCTGTGACGTGTACAAAAACCAAAACCTGTACTGTAGGCACTTACAACCACTAATTTGTAACACAGAAGCATCTGTTGGCCGATTAAGGATTAGTGCCCTATTGTGCTAAGTAACACACGGGTAACATTTTAAAGGCAATTTTATCCTCAATATTGTCACGTTAATTAACAAATGAGAAACTCCCATTAGAAAAAACTGATCTTTTTGTTCCTCGTGACATTCTCGGCACTATCACCTCCTGTACAGCACAAAGAGAAGGGCCCCAGCCAGCACACCTTGTCTGTTCGTGCACATCTCTGGAAGGACATCTTTTTCATATCTTCCCCGTGGTTTTCTGGGATGCAGCCAGCCTGAACAAGGGCAGACACCAAGTCATCTTCAATCGTCTTGAACTGAGGGGATCCCATATTTCGCTGGAAGAAGAGAAAAAGAAATGAAAAAGAGATTAGTAACTTAGTAACTGCTCCAAGAATGAAAGAGCAACAGGGGCCTATACAGCAAGCCCTTTGATCATGTTTTACTGGGAATCTAAACAGGTGTATTTTGGAACTTCATTTGCAAATGCTATTAGTTACAAACACTTGAGATTTCAGCATTAAATACCCCAACTATGAATATCTGGACTTTGGTGGGGATTATTAAAAGTGGGCCTGAAAGGCACAAAAAAAGGGTTTGCTCTTCCAGTATACACACTGGAACAGCAGGCACCATAACCCCAATCCCAGTACTCTGGAATTCTTCATTCTGACATCTATAAACTAGATTAGTGGGTTCTTTGATTTTACTTCTCGAAGGAAGCACATGATCATCTCGTCTGCCTTTGTGCAGAACGCAGGCCATGGAATTCCAGGCAATCATCCTGCACTAAGCCCAAATATGAGCAAACCAGAAGGCTGCTGCTGTAAACATGGCTGCAGGGCTTGGTGAAGAAGGCAACATCGTATCCATGGACTTCTCCAGACTGGGAACATTTACAACACTGCTATTATGCAACTGGCATCAAAATGCAAGCAGCCCCCTCCCCTCTCTCCTCTCCAGTGTAACCGTGCTGCATCAGTGCAAGTCCACCAAGCTGCACTAAGCCACCCTGAGGCAGCATATCTAAAATGGAGCTTCCAACATCTCTTTTCGCTTGGCCCCCGGCCCCTTTGCAGATGATACACAGCTGTGGGCATACCGATACAGCTAGAAATGGGCCCCAGCAAGGAGCAGGCTGGATTTATGGCGTAGCTACCTACTTGCATCCCATGGTAGCCTTTCCCAGAATACGCTATCAACAGGACAATCTTCCTTTTGGGAAGCTTCTTATTCTGGTCTTCCACATCCTCCTGGTCTCTCTTGAATCTTTTGGCCTGATGTCCATTTTCCTCTTGCTTTTCAATCTCCTCACTGTTGGTGCTGCTGTTCTGTAGTCTCTTGGCTTGGCCGGCAGCCGCTACTCGCAAACCCTCAGCCATTGCAAAACGCTGAAAGGGACAGAGAAGGGAAAAGGGTTCAGCCAACAACATTTTCATCCAGCATGGGGGAGGAGCAAAAAGATCACACTGAACACCTGAGCTGCAATTTAGGCCTCATCCATACTAGCACTTTGCCTGTATATTATACCAACATGCTTCTCTCTTTCCATACACACTGGACATTAACGATTCTGGCAGCTCTCTATAGGGGAGACCTGGCTGCAGTGTCTACAGCTGGACAAGCAAATGATCAAGCCAGGGAAGTTTAGCTTGTCCTGCTACTGGCAGACAGCCTTTCCCCAAGCAAGTATCCAAAAGGGCCATCTCATTTATGGATGCAACAGCTGAGCACTGGCCCCAGCCCTTCTAAAGCAGGGGTAGCCAACCTGCAACACACATTGCCACAAGTGGCAGGTGGCCCGAAGCAGATCAGAGAGGGGCAAAGCAGCTGACGGGGAACAGAAAGCAGAGCAGGCCGAGAAAGGGATTGCAGCAGCACTCAGGGAGGCTGCAGAGTCACTTTCTGGCAGGCCGGATGGACAGGTTGGCCCCGGTGGTCTAGAGCAGCGGTCTCCAAAGTGAGGTGCGCAAGACAATCCATTGGGGTGCGGGAAGAAAATATTAGAACTTGTATTTATATTTATATAAATATACATATATGGGGGTGCGTGCTCAAACATTCTTTACTGATGGGGTGTGCGATCAAAAAAGTTCAGAGACCATTGGTCTAGAGCAGTGGTCTCCAAACTTTTTTGATCGCGCACCCCTATTAGTAAAAAATTTTTGAGCACGCACCCCCAATATATGTATATTTGTTGGGGGCACCACTGTCAACCCCTCCACATCGTGAACTCCCACTCTTCCCTCACGACACCTCGTGTACCGTACGTGACCGTCCGACATACGAACCAAGTGAGGGCACCAGTGTCAATCCGTATATTAAATATTAGTAAAGCTTAATTTCTTTCTTATTTTTTTTAGATAAAAAATAAATATAAATACAAGTTCTAATATTCTCTTCCCGCACCCCAGTGGATCGTCTTGCGCACCCCACTTTGGAGACCACGGGCCTAGAGCAGCGCCCATCCAATCCCAGGCGCTGCACAAGACCCGTTATCCTCATCTGACGTAAGGAAAACTACGGCGCTGGCAGGCCAACGACGCTCGCCCGCGGTCGTCTCATCACCAGGCTTCCAGCACAGCCAGAAATGGAGCCCAGGCCTCCCACCCCGGCCTCCAGCCCACCGGGCGCACGGCCCCCTGCAAGGCTGTCACCTTCCTTGGCAGGACTGGAAGGGACCTCACCACCGAGGCTGCGGGGCGGCCCCCTGCCCGAGGCAGGATCACCCCCCGCTAACCCGGCCCGGGCAACAGAGCTACCGGGCAGAGACAAGCACACGCGGCCGGGGTGACACCACGCACGCACATGCATACACACGCACACAGATACACACACACGTGTGCAGCTACACCTGCATGCATACACGCACATATGTTGCCATGCACACAAACACGCGCCAATACGTGCAAGCGTGCGCGCACACACCCAGGCACGTGCACATACACACATACAAACGCACACCCACATGCCTGTACAAAGATACAGGCACGTGCACGCAACGGCACACGCACTCAGATAACACGCACGTGCCTATACACACTTGCACGCCGGCACGGGCACACGCGCGGACACACCCGGGCGGGCACGCACGCGCGCAGGCTCGCGCGGCCGCGGC